GGGGGGGGGCTGGGTGGTGGCCACCACGGGCGGTCCCCCCGCGGCCCGCGCCAGAGTGGCGCTCTGGTCCACGGCACGGCGCCGCGCGGCCGCGCGCGTGTCCGAGGGAGCCAACACGACACCAGTAGAGCGCGGCGGCGGTCTGCGGGACCATTAAGCATTTCAGAACGCCCCCGAAGGTCGCAAGTCCGCGCCGTCGTGGAGGGCGCACTGCACACAGCTCGAGTCTGTAGCGCGAAGCACGGCTGAGTAGCCTTCGGCGACTCTTAGCGCCGTCAAGGGGTCGGGCGGGGCGCGCGGACATGTCGCGGGTTGCGGTGAGAGGCCCTCCTCAGGTCAGCGCAGGGTTGGGCTCAAACAAAGGCGTCGGGGGACGTGAGGCGCTCGTGAGGGGAGAGAAAACAGAACACACATGTGTCCGGGCGGACACGGCACAAGTCTCTCTGGGGCGAGGCCGGCCGCCGCCGCCTGCCTGGAGACAATGCAGGCGCGCGAGGCGACGACGCGACGCTACCGAACACGCGGCTCATCAGCCGCACTTCCTATGCGCCCCGGGCTGGGCCGCGCCCCCGCCGTCCCCGCGGGCGAGCGGGCCCGTCGCGCCCGAAGGTGCCGCGCGGCCGTTCCCACGAAAGCAGTCTGTCAGTCAGTCAGGCACGAGGCAGGGCTTTTGGAAGCGTATTAGTAGTGGCAAAGCCATGCGGCACCGCCCGCCCGGCGGCGTTTCTCTCCCCACGTTGCATCACCGTACGCCCGGGCTCTTGTCGTCGTGTTCTGTATGCGCGCAAGGCCATGCAGGCCGTGCTGTGGAGGTATGGGTCTGAGGATGGGGACACACCGGTTGGGTCGCGCGGGTCGGGGGGCTCTGGTGGGCAAGCGGGGCCCCCGGGCCTGGTGGGCCTGCAGCGTCTGCTGCGCCTGGTAGGCCAGCTGAGCCTGCTGCTGCTGGGCCGCCATGGCCTGGGCCTGCTTCGCCTGCTGGCGCGCCTGCTCGCGGGCCTCGCGCGCCGCGCTGGACGAGGAGCGGTGCAGGGAGCGCGACGTGTCCGTCCAGCGCTCGGGGCTGGCCGACGGGTCCGCCGCCATGGTCACACTCACCTGCAAGCACAAGAAACACGCGCCGGTTAGAACACACCACGACCAAACAGGCAAAAGGCAAACCCAAAGCAAACACGACAGGAGACAGGGCAAAAGAAACACGACACTCGCACTCGCTCAGGAGACACCCAAGCACCCCACGCGTGCACCACAGATGGAAGACGAAAGGAGACGCAGGACGCCCCTGACCAGCCAGACCCCGACCAGCACGACCACATGCACGCGAACGCTCCCCGGACTCGTAGTTTCTACACCACATATGAACCACCCCTTCAAACCTCTCACTCGCGCTTCCCGCCGCCGCACGGACCTCATCCGGTGCAACACAACCACCGCCGACGCCGTGAGCAGCGCGGAAAAAAAGAGTATAGTAGACGCGCGGACTCGCCAACACGAGTGGAATGTGAAAACGCCTTTACGTTCTGCGGCGTGCGGCGGCGGCTGCGGCGTCGCGTCCCTACGTGATCGCATCGGCTGCATGCGCCCCGCGCGCTAGTACACTCCCGGCAGAAAGTATAGTAGCATCCTCGCCGCGTCGTCGTCGTCGTCTTGTTATCTCGTTTTACCAAGAAAACGTGGAAATAATTTATCGTTACGAACGTTGTAGCAAGAGTGTGTTGTTGTGGAGGCGGCAGGGGGCAGGAGGGGGTCGCTGCGGCCGTTGGCACGGCGGGCGGGGAGGCTCTTTAGCGGCGGTCGCGTCGCGTGCGCAGAGCGTCTCTCGACTCGGTGTGAATTAGATAATGTGTTTCCGGTCCCAATTCCCCTCCCCTTGTCGACGTGGACGACGACGCCCGGACTGCCTACCCCCCTCCCTAACTGCGTTCTTCAACCCCAAGCCCAACGGCGCCAGACTTTTGCGCATTATAGCTTTTTTGCGCTTCAGAAAACCGTTAAAATAAAAAATACGATAGAGCCTCTTTAGGCGACAAGTCATTCCTCTTCAGATATCGTAGAGTACAAGAAATGAAATTCGAAATGTATTAAGCTAAAAACTGATAATCTAGCCACCAGAACATTGATGCTTACAATCAAGCTGTAGCATTTTGCAGGGTTTGGCCCGTGGGGCTCGCGTTACGACGCGTTTGTCCGAGATTCCCCCCCGAGGCGGTGATTCGCCTCCTTACGTTGGTCGCTCTCGACCCACGCCCACGCAGGCATGTGGCGAGGCGGCGCCCCCGCTCCGCGGCCCCCAGTCCGCATCCACTTAAAGCCTTTGCCTCGCGCCAGCCCACACAAAGGGCACCTCATATACCTCACTGGCGAAATGTGAAAAGGGCGTAAGTCCGCGGACTTGGCATTCGACTTACGCCCTTCTCAATTTTCACCATTAACCTCTACACCCCGGAGTTTGGTCTTCGCGAAACGGCGTGGCGTCGTCGTTTTATCCGAGCAGTGTATCGAGGACGCGTCCACGCGGAGCCATCGGATAGGGCTATATTGCCTCTCGCTCTCTCACTTCCGTTTCCCTTCCTTGTACGGCGGGGCCGAGCCGGGGCCGTGTCTTTCGAGGCGTGGTGCGAAGGAGAGGTCTCATCTCTTGCTCATCCCTCAGCGCTCCGCGAGGCGCTCCGCGAGGGCCGGGCCATTCCAGATCGGGACAGTGATGCCTCGCCCTCGCAGCCCGCAGAGATCACGGGGCACGCACAGCTTCAAACTTTCGAAACGAGAAGGGAAGCCGCAGCAGAGAGGAAGCTGAGCAGAAGCGTGGTGACGCCAAAGGCGCGCAAGCCCGAAAAAAAAGTAGAAAGAATTATAATGAAAATGCCCGTCCCACGATCTGCCACGCCGCCGCACTACAAACTTACAAAAGCCCCCCAGTCTCCTGCCGCGCCCCGCCACGCCGCGCTCGGATCCGATCGGCTGCCCAGTCGCTCATGCACGAAGTGGGCTAACTGCCCCGAAAAGAAAAACAAAGGAAATCGGAACTCTGTCTCATTGGAGCTGGAGCGGCGAGCGGCGGGCTGGAGCAGAACGATCCCCTCTCTCTCTGCCCCTCTCACTCTCAGCTCTCTTTCCGTCTCACACCCGGCGGGAGACAGGCAGGACAGGACCCCGGAGGGAGGGGGGAGGGG